AAGGAGAAAGGGTGGAGGGTGAGGTGAGGACAGGGCAAGCAGCTGCGGCAGTCTAGCTGCCCCAGGTGGTGGTGGCGGCGGGGGAGGTTCCGAGCTGCTCCCTCCGGTCTCTCTCTAGCCCTGGGAAGTGGGAACGCAACCCGAGCATGCAGCTCCTGCAGCCGCAGCCCCGGGTGGTGGGGAAGAAAGGGGAGCGGCTACGCGAGCGGAAATCGATGCCGCGCCCCCTCCCCCTCCCCAGCCCTGCCCTTTGCAACTCGATTCATTGGCAAGATTCCGAACTTGCCTCACTTCTCGGCCGGTTCCGCACTACGGAGCCTGCCACTCTTGTCCCTCGGGACGCCACTCGGGACGCTGGCTGGTGGTGGGAAGGGAGGAAGGCCAGGGGGGAAAGCGAGGAGGGAGGCATAGTTGTAGAAATAACCGGGGGAAAAAAGCTCCCCCAGCTCGGAACAGCGTTCTGGAGGGAAATGAGGAGGGGGCAGAGGGAGAAGCTTCCTCATGAAATAAAACCTGGGGGTCTACTGAGCATGCCCGGCGTTAGCTGGCTCAGTGAGTTGAGTTTAGGAACTAGTGATTCCGGACTCCGGGTTTTTGTGTTAGCTGAGGGAGGGGGGCGTGGGGAAGGAGAGGGAACTAGAGAGATTCAGGATTGAATCTGAATAGGAAGGCTGGCTGGAATTTCTCAATGCAGTGCTAAGGCTGGGAGTAAAGAATAATGTAAAACACAGAAGAAGGTAACCCACACTTTATATACTCCACTCCCAGCTGTGGCTATTGTTGAGATGTAGAGCCCGACTCGAAGAGGATCCTTTACTAAGTCTTAGCATTTTAGACCTGAAAAGGACTTAAAGAGCATATGACCCAACCCCCTCACTTAAGCAGTTCTCCGGTTAGACTCCCACATGCATTTTAGATTTAGTACCTTTTGTTTTGCTAGTTACGAGGCCGAGCTTTAGGAGCCTTAGACAAATAAGCCTAGGGCACTCACGTGGGGCGGGGGAGGGGAAAAGGAATGCTTGCAGACTACTGTCCTTGGGTCCTCCCCAATGGCTGTCTGCAAGCCTGTATAGCAGGATGATCCAACCAACCTGGACTGGTGGGACTGCATCCTGGTCAGTCTCTGGGTTGCTGCTTCCTTTGACTTCCTCCCCCAACCACTCTTTTGGTGGTTGGTGGCTTTTGGCCCAGGTGAAGTAATTCCTAATTATGCCTTGGGTATGAGAAACGGGCCTTTAACTGAAATGAGGGGAAAGGGGTATCCTGTTCTTTTGCCTTATCATTAAAGCTTCAGTCATGTGAAGATTACACACATTTATGATACAAAATCCTATATCTATCTATATATATCTTACTGTGTTTACATAGTTCTCTGACATCTAAGAGCACAGTCATAGGTATCTCATTTATCCTCACAATATGCCCACGGGAGAGGTTAGGTGTAGGTGTTATTTCTATTTAATCAATGGGAAATTGGAGGTTTGGAGAGATTAAGATGACTTGCTCCAAACCAAAGAGTTAGTCATTGATAGTGTGGGTGGGTGTGAAAATCTAGGACTATCTTCTTTGGACTGGCAAGTGCTTTTCCATCAAAAAGCATTTATTTATTCAAGTGCCTTGTTGTCCAATGCCCCTTTGCCTTCCACAAACTAATCTTCTAGAAACTGGACATGGCCAAGTTACATGCCCCTAGGTAGGTAATGTATATTATACATTATATTTTATATTACATATTGTTATTTGGAGATGGAAAGACCTGGGTTCCAGTCCTTTCATTAATAACTCCCAGTGTGATCCTGCATAAATCACTTAGCCAGAATATATTACTAAGTAGTTCTCAAGTTGGTAAAAGAGAATGAGCCTTCCTTCCCCCATTATATATTCTTCCTGTATATATATATATATATATATATATATATATATATATATATATATATATATATCTGTTTATGCCCAAGGCATGATAACACCTTTTTTTTTTTCTTACTGTGAGAGGTAGCCAATTATAGTTAAGGGCAGAGACACAGAAGAGTTTTTATAGTAGTTAGAGATAATTATAATATCTTACATTAAAGCACTTTCCCACGTCTCATTTGATTCTTGAAATAACCCTGTGAGGTCGATATGGCATATTTTATTCCCATTCTATAGATTAAGAAGCAAAAGCTAGGAATAACCACTTTCCTCATTGACCTCTCAAAGCATTTTTCTTTGCAACTCTGTAGTGCCCCTTGGCAATATTGTGCATTCCAATCAATCGATCAACAGGCACTTATTAAAGTCCTGTTATGTATTGGGCACTGTGTTTAGGTGGCTCAGTAGTTGCATTGGACTGGGGCCCAGGCTGTCCTGAATTCAAATCTATCCTCAGATACAATAGGTATGTGACCCTGAGCAAGTTCCTTAACTTCTCTGTGCCTCAGTTTCCTCATCTGTAAAATGGGCAAAATAATAGCACTTATCCCTCAGCATAAAATATCTGTAAAGCACTTTGTAAACCTTAAAGCACTATTATATAAATGCTAGTTATTATTATTATTATCTTATGCCCCAACTAAACTTGTAGGCCCCATTCAGGGCAGGAGCCCACTTGGATCTATCCCAGCTTCCAGCACATTGCTATGCAAAATATTATTATTGTTTATGAAAAAAAACTTATTGGAAGAAGGACTTACTCAAGTTCACAAGTTAGACTTAGAACCCAGGCATTCGGATACCTACTCCTCAACTCTTTCTGTTATTTCAAATTTCCATCCAATAATAGATGATTCTGAAATCTATCTAATAAATGACAGAGGTAGGTATGATAGACGTGATACAGATGTTAAATCACCAAACTCTCCCTGATTAAACTTGAAAGTCTAACCACTCAACCTCTCATAAATTATCCTACAAATTCCCCTATTTTTATCTGTATAATCTACAGTAGAAATATCTAGTCTTGAAGCAACTGGTTGCTCAGTGGATAGAACAAGGGCCTGCAGTCAGGAAGATCTGAGTTCAAATCTCTCCCTAGACACCTGTTGAGTTACTCTGGGCAAGTCATTTAACCTCTGTTTGCCTGAGTTTGCTCAACTGTAAAATGGTGATAATAACAGCACTTACCTTTTAGGGTTGTTGTGAGAAGCAAATGAGATATTTGTAAAAAGCACTTAGCACAATGCCTGGCACACAGTGGATGCTTCTACTTTCCATCCTCCTAGTATTGCCATCTTTTTTTTTTATGTTTTATTATTTAATTGATCTGTTTGTCTTCTTCATATTCAGAAGGAATTGGCATTTTCTCTCTTAGGTTACTAACTCCTAAGAGCAGGACTGTATCTGTTTGACTTGTTCTGAAATAGCATTTTCTATATCCACATAGCAACATACTGTAAGATTCTATACAAGATGCAAAGATGAATAATAAACACACCTTACCCTCAAAAGGCTTACTTTCTGGGGATCTATCTATCTATCTGTTTATGATGATACTGTCCTAAATGTGAAGATACTTGGCTGGTGCCCATCTGGCATACAAAAAAACATCCAAAGAGGAATGGAGCAGAAGAGGAGAAGGAGGAGAGAAAGCAGGAAGGGAGGGAGGGGGAAAGAAAGGAAGGAAAAAGGAAGGAAAGCCTGATATAGTATGGAAAATAGATGATGTTCAAGGCTGCTTCCACATGAAAGAAATACAGGCTTCTCTCTTGAAGATATTTCATAGAAATTTTTATCTGGAAGTAGGATCATAGATTTAGAGTTAGAAGGGACCTTAGAAGTTATATGCTACCCGCCCCATTTTACAGATGAAGAAACTGAGGTTCAGGAAGTTAAAGTGACTTGCTCATTGGTCATACAGCTAGAAAGAAGAGCTGGGAGCAGGATTTGAACTCCAGTTATAGGAGAATGAATTTAGAGCTGGAAGGAGTCTTGAAGGCTACCTAGTCCAATCTGCTTATTTTGGAGATGTGGAAACTAGGTCCCAGAGATTTCTGTGAGTCACACAGCAAAGAGAGAAAAGGGATTTGAACCCAGTCCACCACCTGGACTTTAGATCCAGTTCTCTTCTCATTGTACCACACCTTCCTGACGCCGGATCCAGGACTCTATCCCTTATACCTAGCGTCCTTAGAGATGATTAGTTCAGTCTCATCTTTTCCACAGGTAGAAACATTACTAGTGTGATTTGTCCAAGGTCGTATGTCTAGCTTATAGCAGAATTGGACTAAAACCTAGGTCTTGGAACTCCTAGACCAATACTGGCTCCTTTATAATACATTCCAGATACCCTGGGTATATGACAACATTCGGCATCTTAACAGCAGTGACGGAGAGCTGAAGAAGAGACGTCTGGGGCCACCCCTCCTCTTTCCTTTCTCCCTCTCTCAAGCGCCCTTCCCACAGTCTGGCGACAAGTCCTCTTTTCTTCATGAGACATACGACAATAACTAGTTATTTGGAACTTCCTTTAAACTGAACAATCCCTATAATTTCTGCAGAAATGCAAACCTTTTAGATCAACTTGCCTGCCGGTGTGAGAACTTTAACCAAACGTGCGCCCCTTCCGCCAAACAAGAGCATCGTTTAGGTCCAAGTGGAGGTGAATTTGAAACAAACAAAAAACCTGTTGGCGCTATGCGGTCGCCGAGCCCTCCAAAACGAGTCACTTTTCCCCTCCCCCTTAATCCTAGAGGGCGCAATGCAAGGACATCCTAAGAGCCCGCGTGCTATGCAAGAGGGGCGAGGTAAAGTTGGCTCCACTTTGCCGGATCCCGTACCCCTTTGCGCTTCTCCCGCCTTACCCTAATTCGCCCCTCTCCTACCTCTGCGCTGCCCTAGACGTCCTATCCCCAGCCCCTAGTTCAATCCCTGGGTTTGGGAGGAGAGGCTGACTGGGGGAGCAGGGTCCTGGAAAGGAAGCCAGATGTGTATGAATCCCAGTGCCTCTGCTCCCGCCTCCTCCTCCTCCCCAACCCCTGGGGCAGCTAAAACCCGGAGCATGGGAGAGTTGGGGCCAGACTAAGAGAGCCCCAGTGGAAACAACTCCACTCCGCAGCTCCTCCAGTAGGGAGACGTGGGGAGGGGGGAAGTAAGCCGGACATGCCCAGTGGGGTTGGGCAAAGTTTTTTTTTCTTTTCTTTTTTTCTTCTCTCTCTCTCTCTTTTTTTTTTTTGGTCGCAAGTAGGAAGCTTTTTGCACTCCACCACCTCTGGCCGCTGGGAAGACGTCATCGCTTCCGCCCTACTTCCTCCTCCTGTTGGCGGTGGTGAGAATCCAATATGGAGTAAAACGGAGGAGGAGTAGGGAGATGGGGCTCGGACGGGGCGCCCAGCACCGCCTCCTAGGCGCGCCTCCCCTCGCGGCGGACCGCTCCCCGGGACAGTGATTGGTCCAGCTTCTCCCACCCTGGGGGCGACCCCCCGCCCCGGACCCCGAGCCCCCTCCTCACTCGGGGCAGACCCCTTCACCTCCCCTCCTCTCCTCCTCACAGCAGTTCTCTTCCACTCCTCCTCTCTTGGCTGCTTGTTTTTCTTGTCTTCGTCCCCTCCCCCTCCTTTCGTCCCCCTCCCCCCCAACCCAAATCTCTTCTCAATCCCCTCACTCTTGGAAACTGCACCTTCCGTGCTCCCTTCGAATCCTCCTAGCTTCTTGCTTCATTCTCCCCCTTTTTGGCACCAGACGCCAGTGTCTCCCACACTAACCCCCCCATTTCAGCTCCCCCTTTCTCTGTGCTTTCCCCCTTCTGCTTTTCCTCCCTACTCTTTCCTTGCCCCCCTAAAACCTTAGCACTTTGCTGCTGGCTACTTGAATTCACACCCTCTCAACTGTGCCCCCGTAATCCCCAACCCCTCTTCTCCTGTCTCCTCCCTCCCCTCTTTTCCCCCCTCCCAAATCAGGCGATCTCTCGAAATGTGAGGAAGGGGGGGGGTGGGTGGATGGGAAGATGAAGGGAACAGAGCTACCCGCTGCGGGGCATTCATCTAGGTGAACAAGAAAATGACCGAAGAAACACACCCAGACGAGTAAGTTTTTGCATTTCAGGGGCGGAGGAGGGTAAAAGAGGGGGTTCCATGAGAAACTAATGTGGGGAAATGGAGGGGGAGAAACACTGATGGGGGGAACTTCATGAGATTAAGTTTGTGATGTTGATGAATTGACTCCAGCTTAGAGAATTTCTGGTGTGAGATTTTTTTTCCCCTCATGATGGGGGGGGGTCGTAATAGCATAGATAAGATAGAAGTGGGGGGTTATCCCGAGAGCTTGGAGCAGGGATGATTCGCTGAAGCACAGTGGAAGGAGTGGGGGAGACGAAGGTGCCCCCTCCCACTACTCGGCCCCGGGACGGAGAAAAGGGTGGTGGTGGTGGTGGTGGTAAGGAGGTGGGAGACTGTCCGCCTAATACAGAAGTGGGGGGGGTGAGTGAGAGAGGGGGTGAGAGAGAGGAGAGAAAGAGAGAGAGAGAGAGAACGAGGAGAAGGGGTTAGTAGAAGATTTGCAGAGAAGGGTCTAGCGTTTTCTTTGCTTGGCCCCCCCAAGGTCGGGGCAATGGTGGGGGAACACTTCCCTCCCCTTTTTTTCTCCTTAATAACTCTGACTCACAAAGGTCCCTGTACCTTTCGCTGCAGAAACGGAAGCCTTTACACCACCTTTACCTTCCCTTCTCCACCCCACCCCCCACACACCCTCTTTCTCCAACCGCTTTCCTCCGGCCCTTGTTTGTTGTTGTTACTTCATTATTTTTAAGCCTTCATAGCTCCCCTCTGGTGGCTCTTCGGAGTCCGGTGATGCCCAATATCCGCCATTTCTTTTTCTTGAATCGCTCTCATTTGCATACCACATTTTCATTCATAAAAAACACACTAGAGAGAGGGGAGGAAGAGGGCTCCACCGCGGTAGCAGCGGGTGGCATTTGTTGTACGCACGGTCTCCCTGCCCTGGCCAGCCGGCATTTTATTGCAGCCCCAAGGGGACGTGTGTGTCTGGGTGTCGATTTGTCTGTGGGTCAGTGCTTGTCTGTTCTCCCGCTCACCGTCTCCACACCCCCCCCCAAGCAATTTCGGAGAAATGGATGGAGAGGTTCCTTTGAGGAGGAGAACTGTGCCCTAGGCTAAGGAATAGCCCTCTCTGCCTATCTTGGTTGTGTGTTCACATATTCATATATACATGCAACTGGAGTATAGTGTGTGGGGGGGGGACAGGAGGGATGGGGGGTGCTACGGGACACACACTCACACTGGTAGAACGGAGAATGTGAGGAATGATACATACCCGTAGGGGAGCAGACGGAGTTCTTTGGTGGGAACGATACTGTTGCACGGTGTCTGGGTGCCTGCAGTCTGGGGGAAGGCTTAGATCATTTGTTACGAGTTCCCCCCTTCCCCCTCCCTTGACACTTTATTATCGTTACTACTATTATTATTCCAAGTCCTGTGGGAGTGTGCAATTTCCAGACGAGCTGTCTAGGTGTTAAGGTGACTGATTTTGACTTCGCCCCCCCTCCCTTCCTCCTACCCCTAAGGCATTTGCCAGCGACGGTGTGACTGGGGTGGGGCCGGGTCTCTCGGTTTCTATTCGGGTGCTGGGCTGCTCGGTCCCCAGGTCTCCGGCCAGAGCCAGTTGCCTGGCTGTGGCTGTTAGGCACTTAGTAACTCTCCATACCACCTCCCACCTCACCTTTTTTTGTGAATAAGACGATCCCTTTGTCACATGATTCCTCCCCCCCCAACACATTCATAAATCCAGTGCAAACCTTCAGCATCTTTCATTCAGAGCTGCCATTAACCTAGGTACCTCCTCTTTCCCTACACCTTTTTTTCCCCCTCCCTATCTCAGAGCTGCAGCAATTCGGAACCCGAATTGAACGACTGTGCGGGGTGGGGTACTAGGGAACTGAGGTGATAGATATTGCTTGGGGCTCGGTTTCTTGGGGGGGGGGGTTCTGTCCTCCAAGAATTTGACTGAAGAGCCAAGCAGAGGGAAGTGACTCAGTTTTGTGCGACAGGATGGTTTGAAGGGGGAGGGAGATCTCATCATGCGTCAGGTGAAAAAATGTTAATCCCCCCCCCCACCAGGACTTGCATTGGGATTTTCTGTAAAAGCCACAGCAGATATTCGGAAGGGAGGTTAGGAACGAGTACAGAGTTCTTTCTTAACATAGTGAATGAATGAATGAATGTTGCTCCACCCAAAGAAGCCTGCTTATTCCTTTTTCCCCATATGTTATTTTGTTTAGACAATGGGGGTCTGATGTTGGGAAGGGAGGCTTATCTTACTTGGATTATGGGGATTTTCTCCTATTTATATATCACACTATACAGTTTTGACCTGTTAGTCTGGAGACATCCTTTGCTTGGATTTTGTCGCAGCTGGTATTGGTTTCTCTGGTTGTTTGGCCTTATCAGCTGGTAGTTTCTATTTTAGTTTTTATTTTTGTTTTACTTTCAGATGGTACTTTGAAATGTTAATAAGAAGGAAGTTGAATTTTTGTGGCTGACGTACAATGGTGGGCAGGAAATGTCTGTGAATCTTACACCTGAAACCTGTCTTTTCTTTCATTTTAAACTGTACTAATAAAATGGCATGTTGCAGAACAGAATGTGCAGAACAGAAAGGATCCTAAGCAATTAGGGACCTAAAGCTGGAGGTTTGAGGATATATTTCCAACCTAATAGATAATTTCCAAATTCATATTTCTTTGGCACACTGAATTGTTGTACAATTCAAGATTGGAATTAGAAAGTACACATTTTGGATTTATGTTGCTTCTTAGAATTTCAGTATAACTAAAAATCTCTTGTAGCCTCTTGTAAAATCAAGATCTTATAATAGATATTCATAAGAGAATATTCCCCATTATAAATCTGTATGTTATGTATATTCATGTGAATCCTCTAATGCTAATTTCTAACAGGGCCTGAATTTACTTGTAAAGAAATTGTGAAGATAAAAGTGTTTCTTTATCCACTATCAAGAAACTACTGGTAGCTGAGTTATTTGCATTAAGTGAAGAAGGTAAAAAGGATGGATAAAAATAGTTGTTCAGTTCCATAAAGGGAATTTTGACCTGTAAGTTTATTTGATGATGGTGTGAATAAGCTGAGGATTTGTTTCAAACAACCACAACCACAAAAATGATGCTGTACTGGGAAAAACAACCTGACCAGGAGCATAAGGAAACTATCCAGTTTTCCATTTTCCCCATTTCTTGCAACCTACTTTTTCCTGGGGATGGTTTTGCAAGTTTGCCCTCACTAGTCAGAACTTTCCTTGGAGGAAGAGAAGGAAGGTGAGGATCCAAAGGGCTTCTTTTAGTAAGAGCAAGTGTTTTTTAAAAAAATATATCTAAGCCCACAGTATTAATAATGAATGCCTAGAGCTAAATTATCAAAGTAGTAAAATAGAACTGAGGTGAGGCAATGATCTTTCCCATAGGTACTACCCACCCTTAAAAGAGCTCCAAAGCATACAGTCACATTCTTTTTTGTTGTTCTTTAGTCTTCATAATTCCATTTGGGATTTTTTTGGGCAAAGATACTGAAATAGTTTGCCATTTCCTTCTCCAGCTTATTTTACACATGAAGAAACTGAGGCAAGCAGGGTTAAGTGACTTTCCCCAAGGTCACACAGCTAGTAAGTGTGTGGGGCCAGATTTAAACTCAAGAAGATGAATCTTTCTGATTCCAGGCCTGGCACTCTTATCTGCCCATTCATTTATTAGACATTCATGTGCAGGGTACTATGCTAAGCTCAAAAATCCCTGCCCTCGAGGAGGGAAGATAAAAATGCAAAAACAAAAAATCCAATAGGGAAGATACATATAGATAGATAGACAGATAGATATAGATATATTCAAATTGTATATAATATAGTCTTTGGAAAGTAATTTCAGAGAGAATACACTAGTAATAGGAAGGACCAGTAAAGGATTCCCTCAGAAGCCAGGATTTTAAGTTAAGTTTTAGAGGAAGCCAAAAGTTGGAAATGAGGAGGGAGAGCATTCCAGGCATGAGAGATAGCTATGAAAAGGCATGGACACTGCAAGTTCATCAGTGTCACTATGTTATAGAATGTTATATTATAGAGCCCTTGATAATTTACGAATAAAATATAAGAAGATTGCAAAGGCCTAGGCTGTAAGGGACTTTAAATGCCAAACAAACATTTGATCCTGGAGGTAATCTGAAGTATATTAAACTGGGGCAAGGGATGACATGATCATACCTGCCTTTTAGGAAAATCACTTTAGCAACTCACTAGTAGATGGATTGGAGTGGAGAAAGACTTGAAGGTAGGGAAGCCAACCAGAAGACTATTGTAATAGGCCAGCATGAGATGGTGAGGGCCAGAACTAGATTGGTGGCTGTATGAATGGAGAGGATAGAATGTATGTGGTAGATGTTATAAAGGTAGACATGTCAAGGCTTGGCAACAGATTGGATATGTAGGGTGAGACTGAGCAGTCAAGGATGACCCCAAGGTTTTGAGTCCAAGTGACTAGAATACTTGAGTATCGAGAGACTGGTGCCCTCAACAATTATAAGGAATTTCAGAAGAGTGGAGGGTTTAAGGATTTGTTAATGAGTTCTTATTTGGGCCTGTTAAGTTGAGATGGCTGCAGGACATCCATTTGGAAATGTCTAGAAGACAGTTGTTGATCTGAGACTTTAGCTCAAGAAAGAGATGAGGGCTGGTAATAGAGATTTGGAATAATCTATATAGTGATAATGTGCACATGGGAGCTGATCAGATCAACCAAGGAGAAGAGGACCCAGAACAGAACCTTGGGGGACACCCATAGTTAATGGGTATGACCTGCCTGAAGATCCAGCAAAGAAACCCAAGAAAGATCTATCAAAAAGATAAGAGGCTAATCAAGAGAGAACAAAGTCACAAACCATAGAGGGAAGAAAGTATTCGAGGAAAGAGGGTAATTAACTGTATCAAAGGCAGAAAGGTCAAGAAGGCTAAGAACTGAGAAAAAGCCCATAAAATTTGGCAATTATGTGAATCTTGGGAAAGGGGA